GTCGGCAGTGGTCCCGGGGCTGGAAGCCTGTCCCGGCCTCTGTCCGCGCTCCTCGCGTTCTCTGAGCCCTGCGCGGTGCTTCTCCCGCCTTTTCGCCAGGGTGGAGTCAGTTTATCCGGCCGCCGAAAGCTGCTTTCATTGCTCGCTGGGCCATTGTAGCCTCGTGGGGAGATTTTACCGGTGATGAGGGTAACAGTAAAACTGGTGAAGTTGTGTTGAGAAGATTTTGCTTGGTGAGCAGTTTTGCTGTGTCTGCTGAACATCAAAAAGACGCAGTTTAGGTGTGTCATGAGAAGTCTTTCCTCTGTACTTAGAACATATCTTACTGGCTTGTAATTGCTTTTTTTTAGCACAGTATTGCAGTGATCTGGTTTGGTTTGTTTCCCTGATTGTTGGGAAAAGTCTTAAAGGCATAGAGGTATCCTTCATATTGTCACTTTTCAGAAAGTCTTGAGTGCAAGTCCAAGTGTTGCAGTGAATCAAAATAAAGATGAAAAGAAAGAAGAAAATAAAACTGTGAACCAACATCGGAATGATGTAAGCACATTTTATACTTATATTTTATACCACATATAGAAGGAGTATTGTTTGGCTGGGTTCAGAAAAGGTGCTGAAATCTGAAATACTTTGCTGTATTTTGAAATCCTAGATTTTGGTAAGAATGCTTGCTATAGCATGCATATAGAAAAAATCATTATTGGAGAGCTTCATCTTGCATGTAATTAGTAGGGTTACTTATACATTCTTAGATCTCTACATTTTATGTAACAAAAGAATTTGGGCTATTGGGAAGTTAAGGGTCAGGGTACTGTGGCTCTTAGAGAGTGGTATTTCATGTATTCATGAACACTGGTGCATGATGACTGAAAGAGGTTGTTGGCAGCACTAGCTGTAGTTCGGTAGATCTTAATAGCGCACCTTATGCTAAACTAAAGGAAACTTGCTGTGAGCTAGCTTACTTGAATCTGATGTTTTGAATGGACTGGCAGAAGTGAGGGCTTGTTGGAGTGATCCACACTTCTTCAGAATATCAGCCAAATAAAAATTCTAGGGTAGGAATATAGGCTGCTTTCGGAGGTCAAACTCAGAAAACCATTTAGGCCCAGATTGATGAAGATGCATTGGAAAATTGGAAAGCCATTATAAAATAGCTGGCAAGTTGGATGGGACTATCCTGTGCATAACTATTTACAAATGCTTTACTGCATATTAGTATAAATTCTAGTACAGTGAAATGTGGTCTCAGTTGGAACCTCTAGGGGTATGTGAACACTGTAAATCCTTTTATTCTGTTTCTCTCACAAATATATATGTGTATGATTTAATTTATTTGTTACAGCTACAGAGTGAGCCAGGCTTCATAGAAGACAGGCTGAAACTTTACGAAGCACTGAAAAAAGAACATGATGCTTTGCTAGCTTACAGAGCGGCCAACCAGAGCAAACCTATCAAAATTATTCTGACAGATGGAAAGGTGGCTGAAGGGGAATCTTGGAAAACCACACCATATCAGTTAGCTGTAGGAATTAGGTAACCTGCAGATTCAAGGATTGTACTTTTGCAGTGATAAATCTGTTACTATCGTTTGCCTCTTACCTTGTTGCATAAAATACATATGTCACGGTCAGTAGATGCTGACTCTTAAGTTGGTTTATTTGGAAAGCATTGAAACTTCAGCTTAGTGCAGAAGAAACAACTGAGTGAAGTTACTGTTCTGAGTGATGCTTGAAGTTCTATGCTGGGATCATACTGCTTACTTTCAATTAAAAAATATAACAATCAGTGAGACTGCTGGGAATTAACAGAGATATCTGAAGTTTTGTGAGTTACCACATACCAGTAGTAATTGTTATTAGAAGCAGTCTTTCCTCCAGATCCCCAGCACTGGGCTCTATACCTTAAAAGTAGAAAAGTGTTTAAGAACACCACAGAAACAAAAATTAAAGGTCTGTAGGTGTTATGAGATGTGGGTGGGGTCTCACAGGGTTTAGAAATCTAAGAAGTTTTGCAAATTTGATCCTAAATATTTTGGTCTCTTGTCATCACTTCTGTTTTTTAGTCAAGCGTTGGCTTCAAATGCAGTCATAGCTAAAGTGAATGGTGACTTGTGGGACCTGGATCGGCCACTGGAGGGAGACTGTACTCTGGAGCTGCTTATGTTTGATAATGAAGAAGCAAAAGCTGTGAGTAAACACTCACTGGTTCTGCTTGATTAAAGGAACTAATGATATGACATGAAGTTGATTGCATTATGCTTTTAAAATCTTGACTTAAAAAAAAACAAACCAAAAACTATTAAAGTAATATATTTGTCATGAATTAATAAAGATTAGGTACTAGAGACCTATAATCTATAGGCAAATAGAATCTTAGTGTTCTTCCTGTTATTTCTCAAACAAGATTGTACAGAATGTCTTGATTTGTATGCTAACTTGAAATAGTTTGATGTCTTCTAAGGCACGCGTTCTGCGGTTTGACTTGGTGCATTTGAAGATGAGACACTGAAAGCAACAGTGAGGCTGTCTTAGAGTTTTCTAAAAATTGCCCAATATCAGATTTGAGTCATAAATAAAATGTGTACCTCCTTGTACTGGCACTGTTTATTAGAAACTTAAGTAGGCATACCTTAGTTAAACTATGAATATCCTTAGTGTCATGCACAAGATTTTCTTTTTTTTAATAGGATTCAGTCTTAAGCCTATATTTATCTTTATGCACTAGAGTTAGACTTCATTTTGTCAAAGAATTCTTCATGTGATCAAGATTGTTTGAGGCATTTCAGGAGCCTGTAAAGGCTTGTAGCAGTGGCTATGAAGTGGTCTGAATTAATAGGGACTTGAACATAAGAGTGGTATTGATCTACTGGGTTGTTGACTCCCCTCTTCTGACATTTCAGGTAATATGGTTTACAGTCCTATTAATAAATGTACTGTATGTGAACAATGGTAACTTAGTTGGCTACATTGCTTTAGATGTGGTTAGTATTGCATAGACTTTTAAATGACCAGAAACTAACTTACGAATGAACAACGTACAGTAAGCACTAAGGTGATGGAATTGTGCAGAGGTATAATCATCTTTCAGACTGAAATAAGATGGATATTTATTGCTGCATCTGCCATTACAGTAATCATTTAGCATACTTCAAAATGAGAAAATTGTTATGCTTCTCACAGAATTTAAACAGAATTTATACAGAATTCCAGTGTATTTCCCATATGCAGATATACCTCTGTTCTGTTTTTTTCTTCTTAGTTACACAATGCCAATGACCCCATGACTTGCTCACCTGACTTTATTTGCAGGTTTATTGGCATTCAAGTGCTCATATTCTTGGAGAGGCCATGGAAGGTTATTTTGGGGGCTGCTTATGCTATGGACCACCAATTGAGAATGGATTTTATTATGACATGTACATTGAAGACAGGTAAAATTTCAGTGTCTGAGAACTTTAGTACTCCAGAAGCTCAGTACTAGAGTTATTTTTGCTCAGTCATGTTTCTGCATGTTAAAAGTAAAATAATGTGTAGTATGGTTTAAAACTGACAGGTTAGTCTTCATAGTATAGGTCTGTGTATACATATATATTGAATGTGTGTTTATATTGAAATTCAGTTCAAACACCTGCTCCTTAAGACTTGCAGTTGTTGAATGCTCTGGGGCAAAATGTGGAGTGTTAGGATAAAACTTTCTGAAGTTCCTGGGAGATATAGGAGACAGCTACCTTGAAAAATCATGGGGGTTTGGTTTCAGAGTGCCATCGTCACTTGTAGCAATTGCACGTATGCATGTAACTCATAGGTGTTTACTACTTTTCTAATCCTTGTGCACAGCTTTACAATTCTGTTTTTTCCATGTTTATCTTTCTGTCGTCAGGGAGAATACTGAATCTGCATCAGCTGATAAGCTAGCTCTTTCAGCTGAGTCAAGCCTTTTTTTTTCTTTTTTCTTTTTTCTTTTTTCTTAAATCATATATACTTTGAGCTACAGGTCTTCCAGACGTGCAAACATGTCAAAGACTGTTCTAGGAGTGATTGCAGTGGGTTTGTTCAGGGTGATACCATTTCTGTTTGAGTTTAGTGTCTGCAAGTACAGCCAATTGTAAGAAACTAAGAAAATACTGTGACAAATCACAACTCATCTCATGTTTTCCAAATTAGACCAATAGAAAGTGGTCACTTAAAGAATGTGAATATCAAAATAATTAATTTATATTTCTTTTGCCTGTGTCTATTTGTTTAGAGGTGTATCTAGTACTGAATTCCCACTACTAGAGAACCGCTGTAAAAATATCATAAAAGAGAAGCAGGCTTTTGAAAGGCTGGAAGTCAAAAAGGAGATCCTGTTAGATATGTTTAAGGTAAATCTTTGGAGTAGCTGTGATTCTGGTACAGTAATCTTTAAAATGTAACTTTCTGCATGTGACTGACTCATCAGAACAGTACCTGTCCAGTAAAACAAAGAAAAAGAATAGCATCCTTTTCCCACTCTTCATATCCCTCTTGAGTGTTCAGGATCTTTTCAGGTAATAATAAAAACAATTTCTTACCCAAAAAATACCTCAAGCTCAGCAAGATGATAAATTAGTACAAAAGGTATGTGTTCATTCTGGTTCACTTGCAAAGACAAGTCAAAAAAGACTTGTCCTCTCCTCCTCTGCTTTATACAGTGAATGTTACCAGTCTCACAGTACAGTGGTTTAATTGCTTTTCAAAAGTGCTTTGAGGTGTTCAGATGGCAATCACTATGTGTAACACAGCCTCAAGGATGTTAAGATATTCTTGTTTCTTTCCCATCTTGATTCATAAGCCTTCTGAAAGGATGCTGTACTTCTGCATACATTAGTGTGTTCATGTGATTTTTTTTTAGTTGTGTTTTACTCATGCATTTGCATTATTAATACATAATTTTAAAGTAGAATGTTAT